AAAACAGGCCCTGACAAGGGTAACGAGAAGGATCAATCCCTCAGGTGGTGCTGTGTGCCGGGGAGGCGGCTGGTTGGAGCCTGGGGGGTCGCCTTCCCCTTGTGGCTGTGGGACTTTCCTTCTCTGAACTTCATTTTCATCCCTCGCCAGCAAGGATGCAGTCCTTGCCTGGCCTCCCTCAGAGGCCATGTGAGTAACGATGAAACGCCCTACCGCGTGTGAAAATGGCAAACCAACTGTAAAGTGCTTTGCAAACTGTAGAACGCCATGTGAAGCCAAGACCTGGCTCTTACTTCGGTGTCCGAGTGTCAGGACTCTGATTTTGGCCTCTAGCTTTTGGAGAACAGCCCGGGGAGGATATCACGCCAGGCCCTGCTTGAGCTGGGAGGTGGGGTCTCCTTGATGCTCCCTCCTGAGCAGCAGTGAACCGCTAAATCTCCTGCAGGCAGGAATGCCCTTCCATTTGGTATCGCTCAGCCTTAGGAGGAGACCTGTTCAACTAGCGCTCTTGATTATGGCCTTTTCATTGAATAATAACTCAATTAAAGGTATATTTTTTTATTAAACATCCCTGATAACCTTTATTGGTATTATTAGAGTAACTTGGCATAATAAGGAGGAACAATTATTTAAATGCTCATTAAAAAAAAAACCAAAACAACACCTAATAGCAGAAGGAGAGCAACATTTCATTGCAGGAGTCCGTTGCATGTTGGTTCCCAAGTGTCACAATAAAAAATGATGTTTTCTCAACGTTTGCAAGTTTCTACTTCCCTGGAACCTCTAATGCATTAGGCAGACAGCATTAAAATTCCTCCAGGGTTTTATTACTGCTAGAGTTACACAGAAAGCCATCCTTGGAACATCCATGGCCAGGTACAGGGATGAATAATAAAAAACGAAACGTACAGAGCCCATTGGTAATGTCTGCATGGTGATATGTGGTTTTATCGAGTGTGTCCATGTACATGAGATCTCATGGGGTCCCCCCAGCCCTCCTGGGAGGCAGGAATATTATTCCCATTCTACTGATGAGGAAATCGAGGCTCAGAAGGGTTAAGTGACTTGATTGACTTCACTCTGCTGGGAAGGTCAAGGCAGAGGGATGAACCTGCCCCGCCACCCGGAGATCACAGGGAGGGTTTTGCATTTGAGAAAAACATAAAGGGCTCCCTTTAGTGCTAGTAGAGCAAAGAAGATCGAGTGTGGGTTTTTGCCAACTGATACTAAAAATGTCTGAAGGAGGAAGCAAGCAAGCAAGGAAAGACATGGGCCCTGGGTTCTGAGTTGAAAGCCTGACTTAGCAATTGAAACGCAGCTGACGTTTCTAGGTCTGCAGGCCAGGTTTGATGTCGCTGGGTAAGTGGCTTCAAAATAATCTAGGCATCAACCTCTCCGTCAGAACCTCAGCAGCCGCAGTAGCAGCGTGGTGGGAAGTGGATCTGGTCTGGGCCACTGGCAAAGTTGTCCCCTCCCGGAGCCTCCAGCTCACCTCTGGGCAGATTGCTCTGAGCTCCAGGAGACGGTGACAGCGAGGAAACCTCTGGTCCCGAGAAGGGGAGAGAGCCAGCCCTGAGTCAGAAGCAGCCTGCTCACCGAGGGTCTTCCACTGCGCTTAAAAATGGAGCCCTCCCTGGCTGCGTGTGCCACGCGTTTAAAATATTTATCGTTTTTGAATAGAAAAATGTTCCGAGTGGCTCTCCAAAGACTTTCTGACGTTGTTCAGTTCTTGAAAGTGAGCAGCCCCAGTGCTCAAGGCTACTTTTAGGCAAGAGATAACCATGAAGTGGTAATATGAAAATGAACATTTTATTAAAAAAAGAAAGGCAGGGGAGGGGAGAGTGGAAAAAGAGTTGTCTAGGGAGGGCCTTTGGGGGCTGGGAGATTTTTTAAAAATCGGAAGCTGTCAGATCCCGGGAAGGCCGTTGCAGTGAATCTTGCCATCACATGGAGGGAAGTGTGGGAACCAAAAAGAAAGAGCTTACCCTGGCCTGACGGGTGGCCCTGAAATCCGATTTAATGGATTCACATAGCCTTTCCCTACCTGATGGTGAATTACAGACAGGTAACTTCCTCCCTGGCTGCTCCATGTCAGAGTCTTAGAAGTGTCTTTTTTTCCTTTTTTTTTTTAAACAAGAAGTGGAAACATCTGAGCACTTTAGAACATGTACCTACATGCTTCCCAGCTGCGGTGATTTTGAATTAAAAAAAAATGTTTTAATCGGCCATGTCGGCTGCAGAGCAGTCTTCATTCCTGGCCTGCCTAGGAGTTCTTGCATTTTCTTCTGATAGCCGCGTTCCTCACTGGCGGTAGAACTTTCTAGAAAATATACGGCCGTCAGAACAAGAAACAGGAAGTGCTCTGGAGATACCCAAGGAAATGAAGATGATGAAAAAAAGAGGTTGGGGGAAGGGAGGTGGTCCGATGGTCTGACTTAAAAACAAGAACCAGAGAAGCTGTGGGCCATAAATTGATTAATTAGAGTGGCTGAAGCTGAGGTGAAGGGTACAGAAACACTCTTAATTGGAAGATATATGACCTTGTGGGAGGTGGCACTTCATTTGTGTTATTAGCTTGTGTCAGAAAAGGATTTTTATTTATCTTCTTCTTCTTTATTACTTATTTATTCTGGCTTGCTCCAGGAAAGGGTTTGAGGAGGACTCTAACTATGGCTTCTGGCCAGCTCTCCTGTGAGGCTGTCTGAGGTGGAGTTCTGTTTCCCATGTACCTTAACTAATAAGCTAGGAAAGGAGATGGTGCCACCAAAGAAGCCGGCGCTTTCTATGCCAGCTGTGGGGTGCAGGGAGGGAAGGCAGGGGTGTTGGTGTGGCCTTAGGGCTCCCACGTGAGAAACTTGGCCGCCCAGGGCCTCAGGAAGGCATCCCTACTATTTTCCAGGCGGAGAAAATTCCCCTTGGGGGCTCCAGTGTGGACAGCCACATCACCCAGACATCCTGGGAGAAAGAAATTACCCAGACCCCCCAGAGAGAGAAATCACCTCAGAAGTTCTCCTCGATCGGTTTTTAAAAGCAAGGCGAGGCTGAACTTCAACATTCTTTTCTTCTTTCTGTCCTTTCCCCTACCCTCTGGTCTCCTCACCACCAAACACGCAGACAAAACAGGAGACCAGAGTGAAACGATCCCCCTAGAACACCAAACTTGTAAAGCATGTCATGGTTTCTGGTGGTGGGTGTTCTGGCCCACTTGGTTCTGGGAGACTCTCCACCCTGCTCCCTGGACGGCACGGCCCCTTTCTGTGACATCACACACCTCGCATGGCTCCGGGAGGTCCTGGCCCCTCGGAAACTGTGGAGTCTAACCTGTACGGAATTGAGGATATTTGGTATTTACTGCTAAGAGTGAAGCCCCTGAAACATAATTCGTGGGTGGAAAACAAAATAAATCCCTGCACGGGATTTCAGGAGTCCTTAAGTCTTTTGGGGAGAGGCTGGGATGGGGGACTGTCTTCCCCACTCGCACTCCACTGTACTCTCACATCGCCATACTGAGACTGGGTATGAAATGCATCTGCACGTTTGCCTTCACCAAGGAGTCTGCGGCGACCGTACTTTATCAGCAACGAAATCTTCCAGGTACGCGAAAGTGTGAAAAAACGAAAGGGGTTTTTCAAGATCGAGGCTGTGATGTCTTCTTCCCTTTTCCTTCCCTGGCCAGTGCGCGAATCCGATGGTGGAAGGCAGGGCCTGCCCGCACCTGTCGCGTTTATGTAAAGCATTGGGAGAGGCTCAGACTGGAAGATCAGCGAGCTTCACCTGCAGGTGGAGGAGGGCGCCCCAAGACAGGTTCTAGATGAAACGTTCAGCCTCCATTTTGTGACTGCCCCAGTGACAGAGACTGTGACATTCTGGCTCAGTGCCACCGGTGTCCACTAAGATTTGTTTCTGATGTCACCAGAGCCTCTTTGTAACAAATCCACACTTGCCGCCATTCATGCTCACCGCCCTGTCGGATATGACATTCTTTCATTCAGTTAGTACTCTGGCAAAGGGCTTCGTGTAGGCCAGTGGCCCCCTCCCCTCCTGGGGGGGTCTCCCCATATTCCACACTGTGGTTAGGGGTGTGTGTGTGAGGCCATGGGGGGCTTGAGGGGGAGCAGCCGTCACACTGTAGTGACCTTGGTAACATGCTAAATTCCTTCTGCTCCTACATATCCCTGTGTAAATTTGACAGTGCTTTCTGCACAGGCACTGGTGTGTGAAACCCTAGAATTTCCTATAGCTCAAAGCCCAAGTGATGCAGAGGTATCAGCCATTTCTCTTAAAAAAATATTTGTGAGGTGATTCAGTTTGACTCGTGTTTTTTAGAACTTCCTTGGATCAAATATTGCCTAATTAGTGGCTCTCAAGGGGGAGGGGGAGGGGCGGTTTTGCCCCCACCCCAGGGGACATTTGGCAATGCCTGGAGAGATTTTTGGTCCTCAGGACTGGGAGAGGGAGTAGTCCTGGCTTCTAGTGGGTAGAGGCCAGGGATGCTGCTGAACATCTTGTGATGCAGGCGCCCCCCCCCCCCAAAGAATTATCTGGGTCTAAATGTCAATGGTGCCTTGGTTGACAAACCCTGGTTCACAGGGTTGTGGGTATCCCAGCTATCCTATTATTGGGGTCAGGCATTCTCACAGACGCCATTGCATTTGGCCTCCGAGATCTCAGGGGTAAGAACACCTATTTTAGGGGCACAACCCACGGGCTACAGAATTGGAGTAACTTGCTGAGGGCGTGTGGCTGATGTGGGCTTTGCCGGGGCCGCCTGCCCACAGAGCTGGCTTCTTCAGCCCTCCAGCCAGGTGGAGTCACGGCCGGAGGGTCCGCCACGTCGCGGGCGTGGGCCTGCTCGGAAGTGGGCGCGCAGCCGCCTTTCAGAACCGCAGATCCCGGGACGCGCTCCCGCCCCGCGCGCCTCCAGGTCAGTGGCCCCGTGGTGCGTGCGCCCCGTCCGCTTCTCACGCTCTCTCTGCCTTTCTGTCCGTGTGTCTCCCCAGGTAAAGATGAGCCTTCCAGCTACATTTGCACAACATGCAAGCAGCCCTTCAACAGCGCGTGGTTCCTGCTGCAGCACGCGCAGAACACGCACGGCTTCCGCATCTACCTGGAGCCCGGGCCGGCCAGCAGCTCGCTCACGCCGCGGCTCACCATCCCGCCGCCGCTCGGGCCCGAGGCCGTGGCCCAGTCCCCGCTCATGAATTTCCTTGGCGACAGCAACCCCTTCAACCTGCTGCGCATGACGGGCCCCATCCTGCGGGACCACCCGGGCTTCGGCGAGGGCCGCCTGCCCGGCACGCCGCCCCTCTTCAGCCCGCCGCCGCGCCACCACCTGGACCCGCACCGCCTCAGTGCCGAGGAGATGGGGCTCGTCGCCCAGCACCCCAGTGCCTTTGACCGAGTCATGCGCCTGAACCCCATGGCCATCGACTCGCCCGCCATGGACTTCTCGCGGCGGCTCCGCGAGCTGGCGGGCAACAGCTCCACGCCGCCGCCCGTGTCGCCGGGCCGCGGGAACCCTATGCACCGGCTCCTGAACCCCTTCCAGCCCAGCCCCAAGTCCCCGTTCCTGAGCACGCCGCCGCTGCCGCCCATGCCCCCCGGCGGCACGCCGCCGCCGCAGCCGCCCGCCAAGAGCAAGTCGTGCGAGTTCTGCGGCAAGACCTTCAAGTTCCAGAGCAATCTCATCGTGCACCGGCGCAGCCACACGGGCGAGAAGCCCTACAAGTGCCAGCTGTGCGACCACGCGTGCTCGCAGGCCAGCAAGCTCAAGCGCCACATGAAGACGCACATGCACAAGGCCGGCTCGCTGGCCGGCCGCTCCGACGACGGCCTCTCGGCCGCCAGCTCCCCGGAGCCCGGCACCAGCGAGCTGGCCGGCGAGGGCCTCAAGGCGGCCGACGGCGACTTCCGCCACCACGAGAGTGACCCGTCGCTGGGCCACGAGCCCGAGGAGGAGGACGAGGAAGAGGAGGAGGAGGAGGAGGAGCTGCTGCTGGAGAACGAGAGCCGGCCCGAGTCGAGCTTCAGCATGGACTCGGAGCTCAGCCGCAACCGCGAGAACGGCGGCGGCGGGGTGCCCGGGGTCCCGGGC